CTTTAAGGGTTAACATGGCAGTACTGGTAGGGCTGTCTGACTCGGTGACATGGTTCAGTGTGTGGGTTTAAGTCTGAGGCAAGAGAGTAGAGGGTTGCCCAACAGAAGGGCCTGGCTTTCTATGGAAGTCTGAGTTAAGTGCCCATTATTTAACACTCCGTGCACACACACACACACACACACACACACACACAGAAAGACCCAAACACTAACTTGCAACGTCCCCTTACATAGCCTCTCATAACTGCATAAGTTTTTAAACATTTGTCTGCAGGATAAAGTATACAAATATCCACAGTTATGACAGTTAAAACCAGCGAGTCAGCATCTGATAACGTATGTACAGTTGTTCTTAAATGTACAATAAAAAGGGCTTGTTAGAGTACAAATGAAAAAGAAACTTTTAGGAAACTAAGTTTAATAATTAGTAAAACATATAAAGATCTGTATGCAGTAACTTCTTGCTCTTGTTAGTAAGATACACGGCTAGAGGCTTCCGAAACGGACTCAATCCTTTCAAAAGAGGCATGACTTAAACGCCCAGTGGAAGATAAGTCTCTAAAAAGTAGTATGCAAATCAGGTCAAACCCATTGCCTCATTTAATTCGGGATTAACTTAATGTGTAATCGGCATTGTGAGAAGGTCATTCAGCAGATAGTGTTCAAACATATGGACAAACAGTATCAATACGGAATGAGGCAATTAGGCTTAGCTCTTAGTGGAGGTGGACTAAAAAGAGTCATAGTGATGGGGGAATGTTTGTCTGTCTGTGTGAAAGAGAGTGAGGGAGAGAAAGAGAGAGAGAGACAGACAGACACTATTATGACTGGCAACTCTTTTTTGTCTAGGCTTCCTATTTTGTCTAAATAATCTCTAACCCTTGCAATAATACTCCACTTATATAAACACTCACACAAGTATATACATGTATGTGGAACACATTATAGGTTAGAGAGGAACAAAGTAAAGAAAAAAAATCAATATAATTTCAAATAACGTTGAAACACAAGCTAGCACCTCCACCCTGCCTGAAGCATTCTCTCCACACATCAGTGAGTGCAGCGCCCAGCGTCCTGAAAGCACTTTCAGTGGAGGAACTAAATGCCAGGCTGGTCCATGCCATCATTCCATCTGCAACTAGACACTTCCTGTGGCCTTTCACCGAAACTGGCTCACTCTTCCAAAAAGCTCTATACCTCCCTGGAAAACCATACCTGTACTCCCTCATGGACTTAGCCTGCTTGTAAGTTCAACAAGTTTATGGTGGCATTAATAATGTGTTTATATATAAAGAAAGTATCTTCTCACTGAATCGTCAGTGATTAGCTAACAATTTGCCTGATGAAAATGCATATTTTAAATTCTTATACTGGTCTCACTTATAGTAAGAAACAGTGCCCGAAGGAAACCCATTTATATGCATTTTTTGCCAAGTATTTCCTTTTTCTTTTTCATTGGCCTTTTTCTAAAACTGATTACTGGATTACTTATCAAACGGAGCAGGTAATGGCTCAATTAATAATACAGTCTTATGCAAAAGTATGAACACCCCAAATTACATTTTTGTTGAGTTTTTCACTTGCAATAAGTTAGCGTATCCTCTACAGGGAGCAAACTATAATATGGAATATTTCTGCAAATTTTAGTTCTCAGTTTCTTTTATTTGCTGAACTGAACACATAAAATTGGCATGTGCTTTTTGTATCTTAAATTCATATTTACTCAAAGCATGTTTCCTGTAGAGGACATGTTTTCACTTAGAACACCAACAAAACATTCACGAGGGCTTTGCATGAGACTGTATAATTGAAAGTGACAATCCTTGTTCACATATTTATGTAAGTAGAAACTGTTGTCTTAATGTGATGTAAAGCACTGATGAATAGTAGACTAAAATGAGAATTAGTTATTATCTGGGTAATAAAAATCAGATTGATCAATGCTGCATTTTCTCAGTAAATAACTTCCAAATCCCCATTTCAATACAATAACCTGGGGGTTATTCTAGTTCTGTCATACTAAAAAGTACAACAACCACAAAAACCACCACAATTCATAGCATGCAATCATGGTTAACATATGTGTGAAATATTCAGGAATGTCCAGCTCCCACTCAGTAGACCCCTACTTCTCACCTTTACTCTGGTAAACTTGCAATATGAGTGATATAAAACCTTTAATCAAAGGCTTTCAGCAGATGTGGCCTAAATTGCCCATATGAATAAAGTGCTCTAATGCTGCTAGATGCCTTACTGACCAAAAGAAATTTAATAGAGAATCAGTTCAACAGTCAGAAGACATGTAGCTAAGTGATTGTTGGATTACTGGATTGACTTAATGCTGTGTTAGTAGAGTATTAGTATGTGTTCCATTAGAGTGTATATATGTGGCTTGTGAATGGGTGCTATAAGTGTGTCCCTGTGAAGTGCTGTGAGACACTGAGATGTATCAAGCCTTGTTCTTCATGTTTGCTCTTTTGGGCTGGGTCAGCATGTGCGGTTATTTCTGTCAGAGCCTCAGGTATCAGGGCTGGTTGGTGGAAAGGAGAGGTGTGTGGGTGGGGGGCTGAGAGAGTGCCTCCAGAGTTAAGTAGGTAAACTGGTCCTAAGCTGATGCGGATCTTTTCTCCTCCCTCCCTCTTTCCTCACACTTCGCAAGACCTTCCCTAAAGCCCCCATGGGGCGGAGCCAGCAAACACATGCATACACACACATACACACACATTCCCACAAGCTGCACACACACACACGCATACGCAACACACCTTAATCCTCACTTTGCCACCAAGGTCAATTCAATTATCCTGTTTTCTTAAAGAGTATGTGTGCCCATTTTACAGCCTGCTCAAATACACCAGAGATTAGAGTTGCCTCACTTTTAATGATCTACATACCTATCAGCGGCAGAAGCTAAATGCTGCTCACACAGGTAGGGCCTCACCCCCCCGCTCCTACCCCCAGCCACTAGTGCGTTCTCATTCCTAAAGACGACAGCACGTTTTTGTTTTTAGGTTGATGAGGCTGTCTAGTGTCCCATGTGTGTGTCTGATATTAATGAGGAGATGAGTTTTCAACCCCAAACTCCCCACCTCAATCTATAAGAAGCTGTAATTGTCCAATATTTCACAAAAAAGGATTTGCATTGTCTTTGCAGCTGAACTAATTCTCCAAAAAATGTCTGAATTATAGCAAATGGAATTGAGCAATGGAATAAAGGTGCCATACAACCAACCATTTTATCATATTAGCAGTATATTAGCATATCAAACATTTCTAAGAACATTTATTGTTTAACAAAGTCGCCTGGGCATCAAATTTGATGTTTCTATATACACTGTATGGACAAAAGTACTGGGACACACCTCTTTGAATCCAGGTGTTTCACTCAGTCCCATTATATAAAATCAAGCATGTAGCCATGCAGTCTGCCTTTACAAATACTGTGAAAGAATGGGCTGTTCTAAAGAGCTCACTGAATTGGAATGTGGTTCTATAATAGAATGCCACAATGCAACAGGTCAGTTTATGAAATTTCTTCCCTCTTAGATATTCTATGATCGGCTGTGAGTGGTATTATTGAAGAGTGAAAGCGTTAGGACCAACAGCAACTCAGCCATGAAGTGGCAGACCAGGTAAAGTTACAGAGAGATACAGTGCATATAAGTCACCAATGTTCTGCTGACTTAACAACCAAACTTCCAAACCTCCTCTGGCATTAACATCAGCACAAAAGTTGTGTGCCAGGAACTTCATGGCATGGGTTTCCATGGCCAAGCAGCTGCATGCAAGCCTTACATCACCAAGCACAATGCCGAGAGTCAGATGGAGTGGAGTAAAGCACACCACCACTGGACTCTGGAGCAGTGGAAATGTATTCTGTGGAGTAACGATTCACGCATCTCTATCTGGCAATCTGATGAGTCTGGGTTTGGCGAACGCCGGGAAAATGTTGCCTGCCTGACTGCATTGTGCCATCTGTAAAGTTTGGTGGAGGAGGGCTAATGCTATGGGGCTGTTTTTCAGGGGTTGGCCTAAGCCCCTTAGTTCCAGTGAAGGGAAATCTTAATGCATCAGCATACCAAGACATTTTGGACAATTGTATGCTTCCAACTTTGTGGGAACAGTTTGGGGAAGACCCTTTTCTGTTCCAGCATGACTGTGTCTGAGTGCACAAAGCAAGGTCCATAAAGGCATGGTTGGGTGAGTTTGGTGTGGAAGAACTTGACTGGCTCACACAGAGTCCTGACCTCAACCCCATCAAACATCTTTGAGATGAACTAGAACTGAGATTGCGAGCCGTCCCTCTCATCTAACAGCAGTGTCTGACCTCACAAATGCTCTTCTGGATGAATGGGCAAAAGTTCCCACAGGCACACTCCAAAATCTTGTAGAAAGCTTCCCAAAAGAGCGGAAGCTGTTATAGCTGCAAAGGGGGGAACAACTCCATATTAATGCCTATGGATTTAGAATGGAATCTCATAAAAGCTCCTGTAAGTGTAATGTGTAGGTGTCCCCAATACTTTTGTCCATATAGTGTATGTTTCTGTTTAGAGTGCATTTAATAATTTAAAATGATTCTATTTTTGATATGAGTGAGAGTCGCTTTAAGATAAGTTAGGTGTAATTTTTCTAAAAATTTTGTAAGTTTCTAGGGATAAACCTCTGACAAACAGGTTTAGCAGAAACGTTCACCAGCTTCAGCTGTTTTAATGTTGTTACTACTTAGCATCACAGTCATAGCTCACCACTAGCTACAGTACAATCACTGAAGTTACTCAAAGAGACTTGCTGTTGGCATTTCCCCAACATAATATGCCACTATTCAAGCTATATCAAGACACCCAAGCTACTTGGTGACAACAGAGAGAGACAAGATGTAAACGGTTAAACCCTCACAAAGCGATCTTCCTCCAAAGCACAAACGAGACAATGAGCTCACCAATCACTGCTCATATAGCCAGTACCATCTCCTCTATAAAGCAGACTGCTGATAATCCTACCTGGAATGTCTTGGTTGTAGTTGTTCCAGTTGGTCGTGGACAGCATGGAAGGCAGTGGCGAGCCTCCCCGACTGTCGCCCTCGTTCTGTTGCGTGATGTGTCTGACTGTGTCCTTGTTCTTCCGATTCTTTCTGCGGCCTGAGCCAGGCGCCTGCCAGCCCCCCTCCCCGCCTCTGTTCCCCTGCTCTCCAGGCGTTCCCTGCGCCTCTCGGCTGCCCCCGGCCCCATCCCGCACGTTAGAGGGTGACACTTGCTCCTCTTTAACCTGGACAGAGCGATAGTCGGCAGGCCACAGAGGCTGCGAACAGGCGTCTTCCTGGCTTTCATGGCTTTTAGGCTCCTGGTCCTCCTTGCCATAGGTGCTGCCGCCTTCACCATGGCAACTAGCAATGGCTGAGTCCCCTGATGAATTAGCTGGACTAGTGCGACGGTTTAGCCATGGTGAGGAGCTGCGGGCTGAGATCATGGATGCCAGTGCCTCTGAGGCTACGCCCCCTGCTCCCCCTGGCCCCATTCCGGCACCCACTGAGCCCACCACGCCCATCTCCATGTCAGCCAGCTCGTCAGCCAGCTCGGAGCGGATGCTGATGTCCAGCGCAGCCTTGATGAAGCCGTGGCACGCCTGCACGATGTCGGTCATCTGCAGATAGCTGGCGGCTGACATCACCTCAATGACGTTCTTGCTGGTGAGCGCCAGGTGAGCAGAGTACATGAAGTCCAGGATGGTCTTGAAGCCCTGAGCCGTCACGATGTCCAGGTGCGTGATCGTGGCCTGCTGCTCCGTGCCCTTCTTTACCTGGCAGTAATGGTTGGTGAAATGACAGAAATGTAACATCATGGTACTTAAAGACACGTTCATCACATACAGTATGTGTCAGGACATTTCGCTTTTTGGCAACTAATTGAAATAGACAATATGCACAACCAAAACAGTAGTGCTATATAAAAAGGAACCTATGAATATGATAATGTTTTTAAATAAAACATTTGCAAAAATAAACTAAGAAGGGGTCAGAGATCATTTACAGAATTTGGTAAAAAAAAAAAAAATCTATAAAATAAGAGAATGAAACCCAATCAGCTACTTTATTACTATGCAGTTTATTAAATTCAATACAGAATAAAAAAAAGTATAGACCCCTAATTCTTTCATTGAAACCACTAACAATGTTCAAAACTAGGAGTCTGGCTGCATTCTAACTATTTTTGTATTTTATATACCTCAGTTATTTTACAGGACTAGTTGTTTGTTTTAAAAGTATTTTTTGAGTCAAACCTATATGTGTAGTAACTGTTGGGACAGTAGGTAAAATGCAAATAAAAAACAGAAAGCAGTGATACCACAAATAAGAGATGTTTAATATTGCACCTTATCAGCTTTTTGGATTTTTGTAAATATATGCTAATTCCAAATTTGCCTGCAATATATTCTAAAAAAGTTATGACCGAAGCCATTTATCCACATCATCCAGAAACGCTGCCGATTTTTTTGGGCTAAAGCCCATCTGTGATGGACTGACGCAAAGTACAAACATGTCCCGTGGTCTAATAAGTCCACCTTTCAAATTCCTTTTGGAAATAATGGGTGTTCTGTTCTCCAGGCCAAAGAGGAAATGGACTGTCCCAAGTTCTGAAACCAGCATTTGTCACGATACTGCCTCATGATAGGCCACTGGCATGGGTGACTTGCACATCTGTGAAGGCACCATTAATGCTGAGGGGGACATACGCATTTGGAGCAACATATGCTGCCATCTAGACAACGTCTTTTTCAGGGATGTCCCTGCTTTTTTCAGCCAGACAATGGCAATCTACATTCTGCACGTTACAACAGCATGGTTTCGTAGTAAGAGAGTGTAGGTGCTAGACTGGCCTGCTTGCAGTCCGGATCTGTCTCCCACTGAAAATGTGTTTCCCATTATGAAGTGCATTTTACGTCAACAGAGACCCTCAACTGTTGAGCAGCTGAAGTGTTATATCAAGCAAAAATGGGAAAAAATTCCCCTTTCACAAGTACAACTATTTCTGTCCTTAGTTCCCAAACAATTACTAAACGTTGTGAAAAGGAAAGGTGATGTAACACAGAGGTAAACATGCTTCCTGTCACACTGGAACATGTTGCAAGCATTATATTTAAAATAAGCATATATACACAAAAACAATAAAGTAATTAGTAGAAACATTAGATATCTTGTCTCTGTACTGTTTTCCATTTAATACAGGTCAAAAAGGATTTGCAAAACATTGCTGTCTGTTTTTATTTACATTTTTCCAACTGTCCCAAGTTTTTTGGAATTGAGTCTGTATATAATAGAGCTCTACAAAATCATGATTTTTTTTAATACATCCTTTTGTGAAGTGTCATTTTAAGAGTAATCTATCTGTGAATTATCCTGGAGTGAGATATCATCACTTGCTACTGGTGGTTAAAATATGGCAGATCAATCTGAACCTTAGAAATGAGAAGTGTATCAAATCTAAAAATGTGTCATTACATCCTGAAGAAAAAGGTTCATAATTTTATTGTGTCAAGTGGTTGTACACAAAGTAAATTTACTACATCTATATGATTGCTTTCTTTAAGTTTACTTGTTTTGGCAATTATTGTGTCATGTAAGTGCAAGCACTTGACACACTTTAATTATGTCAATTCAAAGCACCATTTTTTCACTGCCCTTGTTTATGCAGTTACTATACACTGGATGTTGTTGTTGACAGGCTGTCTATAATTAGTCAAAATTTGTGTTTCGTATGATAAATGCAGTTATTCAGTACTCAGAGCACAGCATTATGATGTAATTTATCACACATCACCATATTGCCCACCCTACCTGGCAGTAGAGCGTCTTGAAGTAGCGGCTGCTGCCCAGCAGCACATTCTTGTGAGCCTTGAAGATTTTGCCCTCCACGATGACACACACGTCGCACAGGATGCCGTGCTGCCGCTGCTCGTTCAGCTCGCGCAGTAGCTGCCGGTAGTGCGACGTGATCTCCATGTCTTCCTTCCGGTTATTCATTGGATTTACTGGGTGGCTGCGTCTTCTGGACAGAGTCTGGGATGCAGAGATGTACACACCCTGGTTAGCACTGGATGTATCACACATACAGGTTATAACAGCAGACTTTTTTCAGGAAATTCCTCTCAATCCTTTGAAGACAGTGACAGAAGAACTGACTTCTGTTAAGTGTTTCAGGGAGTTTCATTAGGAGAGATCTGGCATTCTTCTGTTTCCAGTTCATTCAAAAGTTTGGAATCAAAATTTTCAACAATATAAAACCAAATGTGCTAGTTCTTTGTAACTTCACAGGTTTAACTAGTAGGGCAACTGCAGGGAGGAAGCACCCCAGGGTAAGATGCCCCCTCTTCTCTCCTGATCAATTGATGGGGCCAATCTTAACCTAATCCTAATTTACTGAATGGCTATGGTCTAATTATTTCTGAAGTTTCATCTGGATCACTACATTCCTGGGAGTTATTCCCCCAAAACTGATGTAATTTTGTGCCACTGGATAAAAGTGATCTAAAACACATGGGGGCTGTGGAGTGAGCAGTGCATCCACACCTGATTTTTTTGTCATGTTTAATAATCATGTGCACTTATCAATTAAATTGAATGCTACTACTTTGTTTACATTATTATTATTACTATTATTATTATTATTATTATTATTATTATTATTATTGCTATATCTCTCCTACTTAGCTAGGAAGCTGTAATATACACCGTGAATGAATGAATGAATGAATGAACACATAAAAAAAATAAGTATATAACATATATGTAAAAAAAATTAATGTACATTTATATGATTCTAAAACGACTGTAAAATATATATACAAATATAGCAAGTTTTAATAATAATAATTTCTTACCCAGAATGCTATTATTTCAAGTGATCAAATTCTCAGACAGAAAATTACTGTAAATGGTTAATCAGTAAATAGTATATCTGCTATAATTTAATATTTCTTCTTGTTCCCAAAGAATGTCCATACCTTAACCATCTACATTGCATACAGTATTATTGTACATTACCTGGCAAACTATGAACTACAAGTGATTCCAAACTTTTGAATGAAAAAGTCCTTAAGCTTCATGACAGCCATGACATACAGTGTTACTATGATATACATTAAATATATCAGAATCATTACCACACATATTCTGTGTTCAAGCATTTGCTATATAGCCATCAGTGTTCATTTAGTACAGCCCTGCCTGCAAACTCAACACAAAGTCCCCCAAAAACATGTGAATTAATTTAATTGAGGTCCATTGTTTGTGTCAGGACCAGTTTAAACATGACATGTCAGGGGGAATGCAGTGCTGAGGCGAGTGACATGCTTTGGCCAGTGTTGGACGCTCAAGGCGGGCAGTCTGCTGGGCAGCAGCCACAGCCCTCTCGGTTCAAAATGAATCAGCTGTTCAGCAGCCCCATTTTCCACTTGATCACTCCGCTAACTGACAAAATGCTAATTAAATCCAACCATTTAACAACAGAAAAGGGGAAATGTGTGAAGAGCGGAGGCAGTGATTGCAGTAAAGTGCTTTATACGGTTACGGGGTAATTTTATTCCACAGCTAATAAACCAAAACAAAAGCATTATTAGTTGAACAATGAACACCTGAACGTCTATTCCAGTCACAATCACACTGGAGGGAGAAAGAGAGAGAGAGAGAGAGAGAGAGAGAGAGAGAGAGGCCATAGAAAGTCAAAAAAGAGAGGGAGTATTCCTTATGCATTGCTCAAAGACTAGACTGAGCGAAGCAAGAACACACACACATACATACACACACACACATACACACACACACATATACACACAGACCATGTGCAGGGTTAAAAAAAACAGACATAGAAGATACGTAGAGGTATATGTGTGTGTCACTTCCGGTGTGAGAACGCTGGGCACATTATAGCTGTCGATTCCTATCAATTCTGTTTGTCTGTGTATTGTCTTGCGCTGTTTTGTCTGTGATATTTTACACTGTGGCTAAGGAGTCTTCCTGGGCCTGTCAGCCCAAATATTACACTGCAGCTAAATAGTCTTCCACGGTCTGTTGGCTGTGAGACTTTACATTGCAGCTAAAGAGTCTTTCTGGGCTTTTTGGCCATGAGACTTTATACTGTGGCTAAGGCCTGCCACCCATGACACTTTTCATCTAAGCTGGCTAAGGAGTCTTCCTGGTGCAGCCGGCAGAAACTTTACAGCGCAGCTAAGAATTCCTCCCAGGCCTAATGGCCAAGACTTTACTCTTTGGCTAACGAGTTTTTTCCCCAGCCTGCCCACTGTGAGACTTTACACCTCGGTTAAGGAGTTTTCTCAGGCCTGCTGGCCAAGACTTTACACAGCGGTTAAGGAGTCTTCCCAGCTGAGAATTTTCACCACAGTTTGGGAAGTTTTCCCTCCAGTGGCTGGGGAACTGTGTATGCGCGTGGCGTGTTTATGTTTATTTGTGTAATTTCTTACTATCGTAAAGCATCCTTGGGTGGGAGAAAACCATTATATACATTAAATTCATTATAATTATTATTATTACTATGTTTATCATTAATATTAGAAACACACACATAGAAAATGCAGAAGTGTAAAACAGACATTGTATGAACTACACACACACAAACACACACACACACACACACACACACACACACATGCACACACACACATGCACGCACACAGACAGAGAGCTTTCGCTTGCTGCAAGCTCTTGTGCAGTGTGTTAGTAGTAAATCAGCAGGTCTAGTCTGTTAGCAGTCATGTGCTGTGCTGCACTGTGGTGTGTGTTTGGAGTGTTCAGGCTGTCAGCTCATGTTGGGTTGAGTTCAATGCGACAGCTCCTCTTTTCCACACTGACAGCAGCGTTTGCTGCAGGCCGGTACACTTCAGGTCACGTTTAAGCAAGTTACTCTGAACCTGACGGTTTGTACGATCAAATCAATCCTTCATGTCTCCGGTGTCTGCTCACACAAACACACCTTACTTTGAAAGATGGTGAGAGGAGGAAAGTGAGAGCGACAAGTGATGTTTTTTTATCCTCTTCATAACAGTTTTTGGTTAGGGGCTGTCTTGACTGCCTTTAAGGCCTCTTTTTTTTGTTTGTTTATTCACAATAACAACAACCAGAACAACGCTGGTTTGACTTAAGAAATTTTGCTGTTTTTATCAGCTAAAGTTTAACCTTCAAGTAAAGTTTTTTTTCTCTCCATGACAAAAAGGTACGCCGGAAGGATAGAAATAAAAACTTTAACCTAAGGCATGACGAACAAGGCACACACACACAAACACTGAGAAAATCAAACTCTTCTTTTTCATCTAGCCATTCTCACACATTCAGCTGAAGGGTTATATGAGCCACCTTACATAGTCAAGGCCATCAACGCAAACTCACACCTCATTTGCCTTCACATCTTTTTTATCGACCACACTTTCTTTCATTGACCATAACAATGATAGGTCATGTTTTGACTTGTGGATGGTAAGTCTCATATTTGGAATTATGAATTGTAGTTATGCTAAAAAAAAAACAGACGCTGATTTTTGCCTTTTGTCTAGCCGACACTAAAGGTCAATATGAGTCTGACTATGTAATAAAAATGCAGACAATAGTCGACTAGCCCAAAAATAAAGACATCCAATACAAATAGAGCAAATTGCTGAACATGTGAAGTGAAACAGCACACTAAACACAGAGTGAGACACAATGCAGTCAGCCTAATCAGATTTTCTGCTTCAGCAGGACTAGAGGGATCTGAGGGTTAGTGGAGCAAAAAATGGTAAAAAAGAGGAGAGAGGAAAGAAAAGGAAGGACTCTATAATGGACCGATGAGCCACACAGCCTCTGTGAACCCTTTTGGAGTGCTCCTCTGAAAGCCTGCTTGGAAAATGTGCCGTCCTGTCCCAGTCACGCTTCCAGTGCTTTCATTCACTATGGTTGCCCAACATGTAAAGCTAGCTGACTCTGGACTAAACCATTCACAATCAGTGTTTGGACTCACTTATTATACTGCTTATTGTAATAGTTTGGCGAAAATAATCAAGTTTACACAATATACCTCTTACCCCAAATATATATACCAGACAAAACTCAATAACATTGCTACTACTGTTTTAGCTTTGCGACATACGTTTGTCCATTTTATATATCATACACTGTCAGGTGCCACATAAGCAAGTCTATTCAAGATTTCTTAACAATTCCAGTGTGTGGTTATTCAGCCATTGAGTTCGTACAATGCTATTTGGTGGAGCGCAAAAGTAACGAAAAAAACTTTGGACACCAAAATGGCAGACTGACCACATCTGGAGTACATATGTGTAAATTAGATTTTCGTTAAACTTCAATCTTTAAACCTAAATGCAAAATAGTGTCCACCTGAAAAGGAAGTACACAATACCCAATCTGAACTAAGATCACAATCTACAGTAGTTAATGAGACCTGCTCAACAATGCAGGGTTAGATGGTGTCACTGCCGTGAATGAGTTTTGGGGCTAAGAGAAGAGAGAAAATGAGGACAGAGTGGAGGACAGCGGCTGCCCGGTCTGCCTTAACACCACTCTGGGGCTGGAGTGTTAAAGAGTGCCATCACTGCTTTAAGTTTCTGTCACCCTCATCCACTCAAATCTAAAGTGACTGGCCTCCTCCAGCGATGGGCCCCATTGCACATGGAAACATACAGACACACACACAAGCACACACACAGTGGGGAAAGAGGTGGAGGAAGAAGTTTTTTCATGTTTGTCCCTAATGGCGATGGGAATTAGACAGGCCTTAAATAGTTCAGAAAAAATGTATTTTGGGAATTTATATGGTTTTCCCCAGACCTAAAACGTAGACAAAAGGAGTCCAAGACGTTTGATGTCTGAAGTTTGCATCTTTAGTTTTGAACTGGCGCAACAAGGCTAATTTAGCTAACAAGTAAAGGAAGCTTACTGCACCACATGCAAATCATCACAGACCTGTCACAAACAATATTGAGTTGTTAAGTAATCCTAAACAGTCTTAAAGTTTGAATTTTCTCTCTAGGATTCATTTCCACTTTTACGTT